CATTCCTTTCAAGCCAAAATTGCAGTTGGGTGTTCAACCCTCCTCATTCTTCCCACTTTGGAGGAGCTTGGGAGCGGATGATCGGAATCGCACGTCGTATTTTGGATTCCATGTTGTTAGAACACGGACCGAGCCGTCTCAGCCATGAAGTTCTGGTGACATTTTTGGCAGAAGTTTCAGCAATCATAAATGCTAGACCTCTTGTTCCTGTTTCGATGGATCCGGAATGCTGGGACATCTTGTCTCCGTCTACACTCCTTACCCAGAAGGTTGGTGGAGACACGTTACCACCCGGCGAGTTCAACGTCAAGGATCTCTATAGAAGTCAGTGGCGTCAAGTGCAGTGGTTGGCAGACTCCTTTTGGCACCGTTGGCGACGTGAGTTCCTGACAACGCTTCAGAGCCGTCGCAAGTGGCAGGATAGCCGTCGAGACCTCAAGGAAGGTGACATTGTGCTCCTAAGGGACAAACAGGTTCACCGCAACGAGTGGCCTATGGGTGTGATTGTGAACACTTTCCCGAGTGCGGATGGAAAAGTACGGAAAGTCGAGATCAAGACGGCGACCAGAGGAGAACTAAAAATTTTCCGACGGCCAGTCACTGAGACTGTCCTTCTCATCTCAAAAGAAGACTGATCCAAAACTTCAGTGCATGTCCAGTTTGTGAACTTTGCGTTATGATGTCATAGTGGTATCTCGTGATACCAGACGGGGAGTGTGGTGTTACTGCAATCTAGTTGAGTTTGGACTTGCTAGGGTTAGCCGCATCGCGTTGGCATCAGTCTGTGCCGTGTGTGTTTTTCTTCCTTTTTTGTTTTGGACTCGTTCGATCTGGGATCACCATGTAACGCGCTACTACGAAGCACCGTCTTTTACGGTGGTTGTTATGGATATAAAAGTACAGTTTTTCTATGACATCCAGTCGTTCGCTATCTGAGGAGTGGTCGCTCTAAGGCGCGCCATGGAATCAGAATAATCGTGGAGAGGAGAAACTCAACGTCCACCCTTTCCCGTTTCTCCCTGCGCCCTTTCGAATCGCCGCGCCCGTTTCTCCCGGAGTACAAAAACGACGGTGACGAAAACACAAAAACAAGCGTGGTTCGGGGAGCGGCCGCTCACGACCCAAGCGTTCGCAGTCTATCTGCCCTTTCTGCTCTGCGCTACCATATTGGTCACCGTTCGGCGCGCTCCTCCTCTCCTTTTTCCTGCGGCCGCGCGCTCTATGGCTCCGTCGTCGATATGCCAGGCTTTCTCCGTATAGAGGAGGCTATGGATGACCATATGTTTGATATGAGCGAGCGCTCTTTGGATGACGTCACGAGCAAGCCACGTATGGGAAAGAAATCGGGCGAAAGAGAGAGAGAAAGTACTAAAAAAAAAATCCCGTCTGCGAGAAAGATCGAGAAAGCCTGTGGTAAAAGCAAGGAAACGGAGTCGAAGAAGAAAGACAGGGGAAGAGAACGTCTTATTGAGACGCTCTCTTCCCCTGTCTTTCTTCTTCGACTCCGTTTCCTTGCTTTTGCCAGTCTCGGGTTTTCTGCATTTTCTACAAAAAAAGGCAACAAGTTCTCTCCTTTGAATTATAGGCCCATCTCGTTAACACGCATACCCTGTAAAATCATGGAACATGTAATCTTCTGAAAGCTGGTATCTTTTCTTGAAATGAATAAGTTCTTTTATCCTTATCAACATGGTTTTCGCAAAGGGTTTTCATGCGAGTCGCAACTTTCCGCTTTCATTCATAATCTACATTGTAATCTTGACAATAACATACAAACTGACGCAGTTTTTCTGGATTTTTCCAAGGCCTTCGATATAGGGTCCCCCATAACCGACTGATGCTTAAACTTTCCCAGCTTAACTTAGATGCTAACGTCATTTCTTGGATTAACTGTTTCCTTACCGGTAGAACCCAGTTTGTACTCGCTAACAACCACTCTTCTTATCCTTCTCCCGTCACGTCTGGAGTACCTCAGGGGTCTGTTTTAGGTCCTCTTTTGATTTTAATATATATTAATGACCTTCCAACATCAGTAGCTTTTAACATTCGTCTCTTTGCCGATGATTGCGTAATATATCGTAGCATTATTTCTCCCGCCGATAATATTATCTTGCAGAACGACCTAATAACCATCGAAAAGTGGTGCACAGACTGGCAAATGTCACTCAACGCTGATAAATGCATGCTCCTTTCCTTCCACCGCCGCACTAACCCAATGTCATTTGTGTATCGCTCAAATAGTTTCGCCCTAACATCCTGCACATCGTATAAGTACCTTGGTGTATATCTCACCCCAAACCTCTCATGGGCAACTCACATTGAGCATCTAATTAAATCTACTAACCGCTCTTTAGGTTTCCTCAAGCGTAACTTAAAGTCAGCCCCACATCACCTCAAACTTCTCGCCTTTAAAACACTTGTTCGCCCTAAACTAGAATTTGCTTCATCTGTGTGGGACCCTCATCAGTCATATCTCTCTTCCGACGTCGAGGCAATTTAATATCGCGCAGTCAGGTTCATTCATTCAAATTATTCGTATAACACTAGTGTCACAGCGTTGAAGAAACAAGATAACTTACAAGATCTCAGCATACGCCGCAAAATAACCCGTCTTCTGTTCTTTCATAAACTATTTAATGACGCTACTAAGTGTGAGTCATACATTCAAGTAGCTGCTGAACGCCATCTCCGCAATTACCATCCTCACCAAGTCATACCTGCAAAATTTAAAACAACTACTTTCATGAATTCATTTTTTGTCAAAACTGCTAACGACTGGAACGATCTTCCCCGTGAAATCACTTCACTTGCTGACCCATTGAAATTTAAAACAGCTCTCCTCTCATTTTTCTAACTTGTGCATATGTTTACGTGGTCCATACAGCCAGTATTGCTATCATCAGTATACCAGTCTAACTAAACACCAGTATCATATTTAGAATTTTTCTAGCATTTATCTAGCATTTTTTTTAACCTTTCATTATTTTTTGTGTGCGTTTACTGTTTAATTTTTATTTGTATTGTATAATTTGCAAGTCCTTATTTGAGTGTCTATTTGTTACACTGTTTATTTTGTATTATCTACTTGCATTTGTTTATTATATATTACACGACCACCATGCCCACCCCTTATGTAATACCCCGCAAGGGGTCCTTATGGAAATAAATAAATAAATAAACATCCACCAGCTCGCCTGCGCACTCACAGTTTTTTTATAGAGAAAACAACAGAGAGATGGAGATGGAGGGAGAAACAAAGAGAGGGAGGTTTGAAGGGGGGAAGAGGAAACGAGAGACGCGCTATCTCCAGGCGCGACGCGTGGGGGCGTGGGTTCGACGGCTTGGCGCAGTCGGCGGCATGCAGCCGTCGCTTGGCGGCTCGGCGCTCGAGGTCTTCGTGCGGGAACAGTTTCGTTTTCGGAGTGCGGCTGTTGCTGCTTCACGAAGATTGCAAGGCGAAAAACACTGCCCTGTCTGCCTGCCACCGTGGTCCCCGGATGAGCTGCGCGGCTAAACGGATTATGTGTCCAGAGTTTGAGCCGGTAGCAGATTGGAATTCGTGTAGCCTTCTGCTGGCTTCCGTGTATTGATCGTCGCCCTTTGTGAACAAACTCCCTGCTGCCGTGTGAGTGCCAACATGGTGCGACAAAAAAATAACGATAACATTGAGCGAGCTTAACTACCGGGCTACATAATGTATTTTTTACTACCCTGCGCTCGCTCGTGTTCTTCTTTCGCAGTTGGCAGTTGATTGCGTTCGTTTTGAACGCGGAAAGCGCGAGATTCGACTGCAGATGGGGCGTCGTATTTATGGGTACGCGCAAACTTTGAGGGGCATAACGTTAAAAAGATGTACTGTGCTGGTACGTTACACAGCATTAAAAATGCGTGATTGCTGCCCCAGGCAAAATGGGGGAAAAAATTGGTGGGGAGCTAAAAATTACGAAAATAAAAAGAGTGATAACTGAATTGTTTGAAAGTTGAAAAAAAGTGGGCTGGTGGCTTGTTCATCTTCAGAAAATCTGAAACATAATGCAAAAAGGGGGACATCACATCTGTTGGTAGGGATTTTTATCTCCCTTGGGCTTTTACAGCTTTATGCAGAGCAGACAATTAGATTTAAATTGCAGAGAAAAATTCCGGTTGTAGGTTTACAGGCTCTACCACAACACATAAATTAAATTCACTTGTATATGATAGCGTCATTGATAGAATGCTTGTTATTTTTGAGTCGCAGCACCACTTAAATGAAAAGAAATTAAAAAAAAATATATATATATATTGCCAATACATAGTATATTAATTTGCTTGTCCACAAATCCCGAGACGAATATCATGTCAAGTCTACACAATCCCAAATAAATACACTATTTATTTCTTACGGAGATCGGATATCATGATCTACCACAGGTTTCATTTATACTCTGTTTCAACTTATGATGTACCGCAGGAAAGGCTACAAGCGCGACCTTTTTGCTCCAAGGCACATCTCGGCGGCACAAGCTCTCGTGCATTAGGGGCAGCTCCCAACGTTATGAGCTCGCGCTTCTAGCCTTCTCTGCGGTACAACATTCGTCAGGACCTCTCATTTGTGCACTATCTCATCACATGATCATTAGATGCGGCGCCGCAGGCCTTTGGGGGGGGGGGGGGGGGGGGGGGGGCTATTTGCTTTTTTGCGGTGCCGCAGCTCCTTAACCAAAATAAATATTAATATGACTCCTGTATACTATTAATTTACTGTTTGAAGAACCTCCCAAACCTTCTGTACACCTTCGGGTAGGTTCTGAACCTGTCATGACCGCAACATATATTTCCGATGACCCTCACTGTCTGAGGGACCGTCCGAACCTTGTTTCGCGCGTCTTAACTGGTGAATGGCATGACCGTACCACACATTTATAATGGCCTTTACTATCTGAAGAACCGTACGAACCCAAATGCACACCGTTAGTTCCGGGTCCTATATCTGGTGAATGGTACGTATGTCAAGAGGAAAACGAAGACAGCCAAAATTGCGCACGGGAACGTCCGTGCGCTCGCCTTTAGAATCAGTGTCTCGAGCTGTGTAGGTCAGCCGGCAGCCCTACAGAGATCTTCAAGACGATTTAGCAGTGAATTTGACAGGCAGGTCTTCGGGCGCAATGGCCACTGCTACACAGTCGGCCGCAGCAGCTGGGCCCATATCCGCCGGAGTGTCCAGCGGTGCTCCGATGGACGTGGAGGTCCACTATGGGGATCTGCCACAGGATATGATCAACGAACTTCGAGACGCCGCCACCAAGGCCATGAAGGAGTCCAAAGATTGGGCGGACATCGCAACGAGCGTCAAGACTTTCTTCGAGGCCAAGTATGGGCCCACCTGGTTTTGCGTCGTCGGCAAGGACTTCGGAATCACGGGCACCTGCGAAATGAACCGGGGAGGGTTCGTCTCTATTTCGGGAATCGCCGTCGGCATTTTTAAGTTCAAGTGAAGGTTGCTCCGAGAGTCCCGGTCACCTCTCATGGACTGCGCGCCTTCCTACGCGGGGGGCCCTGACTCAAGCAAAATTGAAATGTAAAAACGAAAGAAGAAGAAGAAGAAAAAAAAAAAAAAAAGAGAACAAAAGGTGTGTCGCTTCATATCTTTCTTTAGGGGGTTGTGTCGTTGTGTTCCTTGCTTGTAAAATTTTGCAAGAATGCTCTTTGTGTAGTAAATCAGTGGTCTCAAACTCATATGAGTGTGGGGGCCAGATAGCCCACACTGAAAAGGTCGAGGGCCAACGTATGACGGAAGAAGGGGGAGGGACATTCAAAGTGTTTGAAAAGAAGAAACGCCGTGCTCTATGCTTTTTGTAAACTCGCAGTTTTGCCTGCGAAATCTTTAGAGTTTATTTCTGTATATGACTACTTTGGGCCCTGACCTGGCGTGATAACAATAATTAAAATGACACCGCCCCGCCAACGTGCTGGCATTTTTAACAGAACAAGAGGACAAGTACTTTGTCGTTAATTTTAATTAATTAGTCGATTGATTGTTACGATTAGCCCCCTATAATATGTCCCCCTGGCCGTATAACTTACCTCCACAAGCGGCATAAGTGTACACGGCGTGCTCTAGTCCACACACTTGCGACGCAAGTTTTTGTTGGCTGTTTTATCTAATTGACCAAGCTCAACATTCCTCTAAAAATAATCAGTTAATTTGGCAGTTCTTGCTTTCCTTACGATTTTTATTACAACACTGAACAAATGCTTGTTTTTTAATGGTGATATTTTTTAAGGGCTAGAATTCTGAGCTTGTCGCTTTATCTTTGGCAGTTGCTCCTGCTGATCGAGAGTTTGCGCAGCCGAGATACACCCTTTAACTAAGGTACACGATCTACCTTCAACGAATAGCTCGCGCTTGCAGCCTAGTAGCGGAATTGTTGTACATTACAAAACGCTGGGAAGCAAAAAATAAAGCGAAACAAAGGGCAAAGGAACACAGATAACTGAGATAAGTATAAACCACGTGAATCCGTCAAAAGTGCAGAGCTACTTTCCGAGCGAAAATGAATTGACGAGATGAGATCACTATGGCGAATGCCATTTCCAGCGATCGAGACATGGGAACCGGGACTCGTAGCCGGTTGCCTGCGGGCCGCGTCCTAATGAGTCGCGGGCCGCATACGGCCCGCGGGCAGCGTGTTTGAGACCCTTGGTGCCGTGCTGTAGATGGTCGTTTGAAGATTCCTACGTTGAATCGAGTTTGCAGAATCGAAAAGAATCAAGGGAAACGTTTCACCTAGCTTAACGGTACCCGAAGAAGCTCAGTGACTTCGTAAAATGTGGAACTTAAAGGGGCCCTGCAATCATATTTAAGCGTCTACCTTTTTTGCGGTTTCCACGTCTCTCGGGGTTGGGGCAAGCCAGCGGGCACGGAGAGAGTAACTAAATATCAGTGCGTCATATTTTAACCGGACGACGCGGAAACCTCCTCCACCGACGAGGGCGACCCGCGGTACCGAAAGCGCTCAAAATGTGACGTCTTTGGTCCTGGGCTTGCCACTGGTCAAAGCCGCTAAGAGCTTTTTTTTAGTCAAGATACAAAATATAAGTGTCGCGAACCGTTTCAATTATGTATGAAAGTAGTTTTTGTTCACTATTTTAGATCAGAAAAGAAACAAATGCAGTTTAGAAAGTATGGAAACGAGAAATGACCCGTCGACATACCCGCTACCAAGCGGCGGAAAAAAACGGCGCATACTAGAAAAGGCTAGTGGGATGAGGCTCCGCCAAACGAGGAGTGTAGAAAAGCCCCGGATGTACGCGGCGGCGCTGTGGTCGTATACCGGCTCAAGAATCCGACCGGTTCCGAGCGTTCCGAAGGCCTTCGGCGCGGGCCCTGCTGGCGATTTGGCCATTTGGCGGTGCGTCAGCGCGAAGTGGCTCCCGTTTTGAACTGATCTTTACCCCGTGTTTACTGTCGCTTGTGGCCAACGAAATGTTATGCCGAATTAGTGTTTAGTCGCGCTGCAAATGCAATGCGAGCTGCCCTGGCCGCCCGCTTCATACAGCCTATCCAACACGTGCTTTAGTGGCGCCCTCTCGAGCCGTCGACACGGAGCGCGGCAGCCGTGTGCGCTCACCATAGCTCGATGAGCTCACTACTCCTCCTCTAGTTCAAGGCCACTCAAGCCAGGACCTACGACGTCATGAAGGAGGTTATTTTTTGCTTGTTTTTGTAATTCTAATTTGCCTATAACTTTTAAAATAAAGCGAAATTTGAGAAAAGAAAAGTTGGATTAAGTTACTACGTTCGGTACGCTCAGGTTCAGTGCAAATTAAAAACCAGTCAAAAAGTCATTGCAGGGCCCCTTTAAAAAAATTTTCGGGGTTTCGTTTTCATGCGTAAGCGCCCGCGGATCAATTTCTCGGTACGACAGCTTGTGCATTCCGACGCTAGGGGTACCTTCATCGAAACGACGTTGTCGTTCAAAATGGCGGTTCGGGAGCGTTTTGTTGTGTTAGGTGGCTGCTGAAAAAAACAAAAACTCTCCAGGATGCTCTGCCTCGGACGCTTCAGCCGCAAACGCCGCTAGTGCTTGCGTAAGTATTTTCGACATTGGGGGGCTCGGAAGGTGTCCAAACTCTCGGGCCAACTCGGATCCGTACAAGTTCGACGTTCTTGCACGGCGGGGTCGCGGAGAGCTTGTCAAGCCTTTTCTCTCCCTCTCATAATTTCCCCCTCATTTTTCTTTTATTCTTGCGCTGTTTTTTATTTGGATTACGCGAAAACACATTAGAGGCAATTAGAAAAAAGTCGTCCGTGTAACCGGGAACTCGAGATCGAGCCCCGGGTCGGCCTCGTAGCCGCATTTTGTGCCGGAAAGGTCGGTTGTGTGTCTTTGTTCGGTTCTCTTCGGGGTCTTTGTCACAGGCACGAGTTTCCATTTTGCTAAATTTCGCGATGCGTTCTCGGGCGTCCAAACGGATGCTCCGGCCCCTAATTTAGGCTCCCAATCGCCACAAAGACCGTCCTATTCCCACGAACGGCTCGCGTTCGAAGAGCGTGCCGGCGCGTACTGCAGCCTTTAAATCGAGGCCTGCGCTTTTGTGTGTGTTTATGTTGTGGTCGCTCGCCACCACTGGTGTGTGTCAGAACTGGCTCTAACGATCCTTTAACTCGCTCGTCTTTTTTATTCTTTTCCCCTTGTGATCTCTCAAGTTGGCTTCTCCAACCAGCGAGCTCCCTAAGTCGTTCGTTGGGATCCGTGCGGCTTCAATACGCGGCTCAAGACTTCCTAACCGTGATCGGAGGAAAAAAAAAAAAAAAAAAATACAAACACGATTTGCCCCTAATATGTCCCCCCTGCCGCTTTGCTCGTGTTGGGAGAGGTACCGCCGACATTTTTACGACAAAGTGAACAACTTCGCTACTTTTTGTTTTAATTTCCTTTAACCTCCGTTTGTGTGTTTTGTTCTTGGACGCGTGCTACGCTCAGAGATTGCACGCTTAAGACTAAACAAAAAGTAGAAAGGAAAAAGAAGCAGGCTCGCAATCACGTAAATGATTCAGTTGCTGTAGGGTGCGTCAAAGAGCGGTCGTCTGCACTGCATACGAAGGAGTGTTCGGGGGATATCCCGTACCGAGTTTAAAAGCCGGTCTCCTTCAAATAGTAGTGAGAGAGAAAAAAAGGAAAGCGTCAAGCGAAGTGTGTTTTCTGTGCGCAAACGTGTTCCGCGTTTATCTAATCGGACGCTGGTGGGGACGACGACGTTCGGTGACCAAATGATCGGATCAAAGAACTTGTATGCTGTTTACTCTTTCGTGGCCATCTCGAAGTTAGTCATCATGTCGTTGATCGGATCGTGTTTTTGAAAGGTGGTTTGCATATTTTCCCTCGTGTATGTCCCGTGTCGTCGCGAATCGTCGCGAAGTGTGATTGAAATAATGCTAGGGAATAAGTGAAGTAATGGCTGTTCATTAAAAAAATATCAACAAAACACTCGCTATGAGGATCCATGCGCATGTACTGGTCTAATCTCCGCTTTTTTTTTTCTGCTTTATTTGTTTGTTTTTTAATTTGAAGTGGTGTTAAATTATCTGTTAACATTTGTGAGGTAATGTGTATGTAATTGTTCATAGATTTTTCCAGGCGTCTGTGTTTGGGAAAAGGAAGTGTAAAGTGTGAAGAATGCTTGTGTTCATTCAATTGGACCATTTTGAGGAAGCAAAAAGAAACAGTAAGAAAACACCAAGAGCATATAGAATGAACAATGACCGATCACGTAATACACAAATGGCAGACTATGAAGACATTCAGGATTAGTCCCGGTGACAGTGCGGTCATTCTGTGAGGCTATTGTGTTGGGAAAAGGATACAGAAATGAGAAGGTGTGGCAGGTGGGACAGTTGGTCTTGCATGAATGATTCAGGTGAGGTGTGATCAATAGTGACTAGGCTTAGTAACCTTGACAGAAAGATGAATAGTTGATCGAGTGACTAATTGATTTCGGGTTTAATGTAGTGAATGCTGTAATGCAGGCACTAACAAAAGAAAGCTTGCATCGTAATAATGCCAGCTCCTTAAATTGGCTGTTCATTGTAGAAGGACAATGCTTGAAATGTGGGACGAGGCTAGAAATTGTGCGACTAGGTTTTGAAAAGCCTCTTATTTGGTGATAAGATACACCTGGTGTGGGCCCCAGATGTTCAATACCTACTCAGGCTGAGCGAAACTATTTAAATATATGCAGCATTTTTTTAAAGTCTGGAGGTGGAAAATGAAAGGATGTTTTAGCTAGCCCAAAGAGTGATGGCAGAATGACTATAGCAACCAAATATGATATTTCCCTGATAGATGCAAATCAACAGAAAGACCAAGGTATTTGTAGGATAAAACAGGCTAAACCAAGTTTAGATTCATGAAGAAGGAATATAGGAAAAAAGGATCCTTTAAAAATGAAATGCATGGGCGCTTTGAAAAGTTAGGGACCGTCAGCCAAGTTGGGCATAACTTTGGCATATTAGGAAAGTAATTTTTGCAATCACATGCAAAATGAAGGCCAGAGGAAACACAACGATGGCAGATCATAGATGAGCACTATAAAGAGCGTAGTTTTAAGGTAAGAACCTTCAGGCACTCCCTTCAAAAATGATTCTCTCATCTGGCAAGGCTTCAAATGCTGCACAGTGGTGCGCGCACAACATGCAAGCCGCGCTGATTAAAGTAACTGGACCGTGGGAAAGGAGCGCCAAGCTTCTCGAATGGTTGCCATTTTGGCTCATGAAATGAGCAATTTCTTTTCGACCTCTCCACTCTTTGTGAGCCGATCTAAATTCACCGGTGACAGGTAGCTTTATAGAGATGTTTCTTATATACCGAGATTTTGTCATCCACACACCGGCGAAACAAGCATACATCTTCGTAGAACCCCCACAAGCGGTGTCGGTGCTTGGAGGCACTGAAAAATAACTTTCCTGCCTTGAAATATGCAAGAAGAACAATATATCATTCTTTGAGACCCTTGGAGATGGGCATGATTGATAAGCTGATTGCATACATGGTGCCAGAGATGCTTATATTGTGAGGAACGCCTTCGGTACGATGATGCTCCATGGTGACCTTGGCGAGACTGGATAAAAATGACCCTTTCAAAGATAATGAAGGAGCTGAAATGACGATTGCCATAGCAACGAAGACCGATTAGCCAATCGGCTTGCGAGGGTTTGGTCGTCTGTATGTTAGTATTTGTTTATGTTTGGCTAGGAGGAACGGAGGGCAGTGGTGTTCTTTTTTCAGGACCCAGTGACTTTAGCGTTAAAATGTTCAGGTGGCGCACCCTTACGGTTGCAATCTGCGACATCACAACCAGGATTTGTCTTGTCTTGAATTGCGAGTTATGATGCTGGTTACTTATCATCGGTTGCGAATGACAAGTTGGATGATGCGTGTAAAGAACACAATGAACGCTTGTATAATTAGTTGCAGGTTAAGAATCCAGTGTATGCTCCGCCTACAGCCCACTCGTTGCGTTCGGCATTGTTTTGGCTGCGCGTACGATGAAGTGCTATCAAAGTCAGAAAGCTCCAGCTGGAGGAGTCAACCTGTCGCCAATTGTAGTTATCGCACGCTCAACTGCAACAGGCTCAACCTTGACCGCCCGACATTTCCCTTCTTTCCGTCGACGAAAGCAGAATAGGTGCTACGAAAGACATCATAATGAGCCTTGGCCAATCGTGGAAGGCCGATAGCAGCGACGCTTTTAGTCCCACATGCCTCCGATGGACTGATCTCGCCAGCCAGCTTCCTTATGTCGCCGCTCCCAGTATGCGTCGTGGGAACTTTTGTTTTTCTGCATGCACGACAACCCTGCTGCGGGTCTGCGCGAACGGAGCTTGAGACGGCACAAGCTGCGTTGTGCACTGGCGCATGCCTCGCGTAAATTCGAGTTATGGCGGCGTCATGCATGTGTGGGATGCTTGGTGAGGCTGGTCTATTGAGCTGATAAATTGTAATGCTCGCTTGCCTGTTACACATGCTGGCATCTGCAGTGGTAATTGTTCTAAAGCAGATACCTACTAAAGCAAGTGGTGCCTTGCACGTGTGTTTGTCAGTGCCTTATTTTAATTATTTACTTGGAATCTTTGATGCATATAAGGTGAGTGCATGTATCTAGGTTCCCAGCATTCTCCTTGGTGCTTGGGTAATTTTGCAAAAGGTTTATTGTTTTCATGAACTGAGCCTGCTAGCAGGGCAAATAAGAAATCATGATTTCTACAAAGAAATAGAAGAAAACAAGTTTAATTTTATTTAAATATTTTTTTAAAACTATGTTATCTCCATTAAATGAAAAGTGATTCACAGTTGAGCTGGTATATAGTCGACATGACTGAACCTTGATTTTCAAATATCTCAGTGTTTTTTTTAAGCATGACAAATTCAATATTTGTTGTTTTGATGCAGCTGTTTGAGCCTTAAAAGAAACTGCATGAAAAGCAATTCTAAATTGAATTACGCCATTCACTTCAACACTCTTGGTTTTATTTATAAATCATTATCAACTTTTTCTTTAAAGTTAAGGCAACCCTCTCTTCGTTATGAATGTTAGTGAGCCGTCTGAATTGGGGGTGCTTAAAAAAAACCTGAAATGAAAAAAAAAAGTTATTTTAAAGAACACAAGGGAGAAAAGTTCTTGAAATTTCTTCATTAAAATATTTCTTTTGTGTGTGCAATATTTACGTTGTTAGATGCAATTTAGATAGAGGTCACGGCCCGCTTTAAGCCCCGCCCATAGATTCGTGGTCCCGCCCATTACTCCTGGATTGGCTTGGCTGCTCTGTCAAAGATGCTCGCAAGCCTAGTGTCTCCCTTTCGCAACATCCAGTGCGTCTAGTCTGGCAACTGACATTGCCTGCTAGTCGTGCGAGCAGATGCGCTGCTGCCTCCTCGATCGTCTGCTATTCCATCACAGTCGATCGTCAGCTGCAGTGCCTGAAAGACGTAGACATTAAAGCTGTGTGTCGGCGTCCATTTTTGCCTTCGTCCGTCTGCTATACTGCCCCCGTCTAAAAACTTCTGCAATGCTCGCAAGACGCAACCATG